GGATTAGCCTAGTGAGCCACGGCGCCGGCCTAGAGGGAGTTTTATTTCTTCCATCCTCTGAAGGGGCTGCGTGTGTGTGTGTCCCTGAGAGGGACGAGGGAAAGTGTTTGAGATTTAGATTACAGCCAACTGACACGCTGCCTGTTGAACCACAGGTGTTCCTTGTGTCACTCGCTGCTCTTGCTCCATAGAGATGCACCCAGGTAAGCCCAGTGGCCTGGAGGCCGTCGGGTGGAAGAGGAAGGGAGGAAGGGAAATGGGGGAGGCTGGGCAGTCAGCCACACTCAGTGCCTGCCAAAAATGTGTGTGTGTTTGTGGAAGGTGGCAGTAGGGTTCCAAAATGAAAACAGGCCCTGAGAGTTGGAGAACAATTTACCCAACCTTCATCTCCCTCAGTCTCCTTCCTCGGGAGTGACACTGGCAGGTGCTTTTCCCACTGCACACAGGGCCTGGGGAAGTTAGGGGTCACATAAAAAACCACCCAGCTTCCAGGAGACAGCGGGTGATTGCCCCCCAAGGAGCACTTCAGGACGCCAGACCACTTAGTCTGGTCACTACAGAAGTAAGCCCACGGGCCCCACAGCTAGGAGGCTGGATGGGCCCCTCTAAGTGGGTTTCCTGTAGGGGGATGACATGGGGTCGAGCCACAGAGAGCTCCAAGTGGCGGGAGGCAGGAAAAAGGCCAAGACCTGGGACCAGAAGCTCATAAGCAGGAGCCAGCAAACCCCTCTGGGAGCTGAGCAGAGACTGGGCTAAGTGGGCCACAAGGGGGACACTGGGGGATGGGATGTGTAGGGTTGGAAGCAGAAGAAGCAGGGTTCCCCTCTGCATGTGCCTCCCCTATTGTCATGGAATTTGGCCCAGGTTGGGAGGGCAGAATATCCGTGGAGTGAAGACAGGAACGCACTCCTCCTAACTGGCCCCACGCCAGCCACCGGGGGGGAGGGGGGGACCGAGCCAGCTCCTGCACAAGCTAATGAACTTGCGTGGCTTTGAATATGAGTCTGTTGTTGGGAGAGTGAATGAGGGAATGGTTGGCAGGCGAGTGACCAAGTCTCAGGAGCTCAGTTGGGGCTAGGGGTGTGGGTACAAAACCAGCACCAGGGGGAAGACAGGTGTTTTCAACAGAACAAAATTACCAAAGCGGCTGCTTTTCTTTGCTTCGTCTCCCACAGGTCCCAAGGTAGGAAAGTTCTCCTGTTCTCCACCCTGCTGCTGTGTCCTCCAGACCCCAGCCTCCACCCCAGAGCCTCGGGAAACAAGCCACCACTTCCCCCAGATGAAGAGCAGGGCGCAGGCTCAGGCAGCAGCCCCGCAGGGCGGGCACTGCCGCATTTGTCCACCCCCTGTCGGCTGCAGCCTTCCCCTTGGCATTCTCTCTGCTTTCCCATCTGTCTCCCCAGCCACCCGTCCTCTCTCCTGCTGCTTCCCGGCCTGTTCCTGCTTCTCTGCTTTCCTGCTACCCCCACAGCACTGCTGGATGGCTGGCTTGCTCCCAGTTGCCCCGCAGGGGCCCCCTGGACCTGCCTCTGCCAAGAAGGAAGACTGCCCTCCCTCCCCCCTCTCCTGCCACCACCACCAGCAGATGCAGCTCCCAGGCCTGGGTCTGTGACCCCGCCAGGAAAACAGCCACGGAGGGAGAGGCAGATGGGGTGGGAAGAGGCTGTTCCAGGCATCGCTGAGCCTGGATGAGGAAGGGGCTGGCCTCAGGAAAGCCCCCAGCCCTGGAGCCAGCCTCTTCCCCATTGGTGCCAAGCCCTATCCAGGCCCTAAAGGCAGAAGTGACCTGGGGAGTCCTCCAGTGCCTGCGGTGGGGGCTCAGCTCCAGCCTGGCTTCACAGGGCCCCAGGCCCACAGTGCGGAGAACAGAAGCAAGGCGGAGTCTCCCTCCTTTTCCCCGGCCCTGTAGCAAGAGGCAAACAAACCTCTGTGGTCTTAGGGCCTCAGGAGGGGTTCCAGCCAAGACAGAAGGTTAAGCCACACTTTCCCCAGGCCTTTTCTGCCTGAGGCAGGAAAGCTTTGACTTTACTTCCATTTAAAAAATCGTATAAAGCTTTTTTTCTTTTTTTTTTAAAGATTTATTTTATTTATTTGAAAGACAGAGTTACAGAGAGAGATAGAGACAGAGACAGAGGTCTTCCATCCACTGGTTCACTCCCCAGATGGCCACAACAGCCAGAGCTTGTCGATCCGAAGGCATGAGCTTCTTCCAGGTCTCCCACGTGGGTGCAGGGGCCCAAGGACCTGAGCCATCTTCTACTGCTTTCCCAGGCCATAGCAGAGAGCTCAATGGGAAGAGGAGCAGCTGGGACTAGAACCGGCACCCATATGGGATGCTGGCACTTCAGACCAGGGCATTAACCCACTGCGCCACAGCACTGGCCCCAAGCTTTAAAAAAAAATCTCTATTTTTGTTTTATTTGAAAGGCAAAATGACAGACAAAATGTAACAACCAGGGCTGGGCCAGGCTGAAGCCAGGAGACTGGAACTCAATCCCACGTGCTTGGCAGGGACCCAAGCACTTAAGCCATGACCTGCTGTCAGTGCGCATTAGCAGGAAGCTGGAGTCAGAAGCAGAGCCGGGAATCAAACCCAGGCACTCCGACTCGGGATGTGAGCAGCCCAAGCAGCATCTTAACCACTGCAAATGCCTGCCCCTGACTTCACCTTTTATTCTTCCTGATTTCTAGGGTCTGGCACTTGCTCAGGGTCATGGGCTCACATACACCCATTCTCATATATCCATGCATCCTATGCACATATCTACGTACACAGCAGGCATGTACCCACCCATTCACATGTCCACAGACATGGCTGTTTGTATGTAGATGAAGGATACCCGGCCTGCCACCAAACCCCTTGCTGGTGCCAGGAATCCCAAGTCCCCTGGGGAGGTGGCTTGAGGGAAAGCTGATCTCTAACTCATTGCCCATTTGCCTTTCCACAGGGACGGTGCTCTGGTGGCCATCCTCCAAATTGGTGTGGGCCTCCTCCTGGCCATGGCCCAGGGCACTTTTGGCCCCATCCTGGCCATGGCCCTGGGCACTGTAGGCCCCATCCTGGCCATTGCCCAGGGCACTGTGGGCCCCATCCTGGCCATGGCCCAGGGTACTTTTGGCCCCATCCTGGTCATGGCCCAGGGCACTTTTGGCCCCATCCTGGCCATGGCCATGGCCATGGCCATTGCCATTGGCACCGTCGGCCACATTACTGAAGAAACAGAAGAAAACAAGCCGAAAGAAGGAGGAGCCTGAGTGGACTGCCCCGTGGATCTGGCATGAGGCCCGAACAGAAATCCTGTCTTCCTAATAAACAGCCTGTTGAAGGCCATGTCTGTTCTTCAAAGAGCCTGTCTTCCTTCAAATCCAACCTGGGGGCCCAGTGTCTCTGATTCCAGTATGAAAAGGAGGTGTGCAGCCTGGCCGGCTCAGAAGCTTGGCTCAGTGGCGCCCACAGCGTGTGGTACCTCATATAAGGTCACAACTCTTCCTGGTCACCCTGCCCCCTCCCATCAGGGGACCCCGAGTATGGCCTCGTCACCTGCCCCCTGCACCTGCACTCCCAGAGCCGGTGGGCCTTCCAAGGTTCCAGTCTGCGTGCCTCAGTCTGTGGGTCAGAAGCCTTCCATGGCCCCTTACCACCCAGATGGCTTTCTTACCATTCCCTGAAACACACTGAACTTGGCAATTCCCCTGCCTCCCACCTCAAGTCAAGGCTGCTTTCCCTCTCTCTTACCTCCACATTCCCAAAGGCCCCCAAGCCAGGGCTGCCCTACCATCACTACCCTTCCCGGGCCTGTTGGGAAGGAAGAGGTTGTCCCTCTTTGCACAGGGCTCCTACCTTGCAGCAAGCTCCAGGGAGCAGAGGGTATCACCAACTCACGGCCCCGCCCACACCCCGCCCAGCTGGCTCCAATTTAGGGCCTGGCCCTTTATCTTTCCAACCAAACTGTGAGCTGCTCGGGGCAGACCCACCATTTGCACACTGTGGGGAGCAGGGCCCATTGCCCGGGAGACAAATAAATACTGAGGACAAATACTGAGATTACCGAGACTAGACTAGACTACTGGAACTGCTAAGACTACCTCTATGCATCTGATCTCCCACCATATGGCGCTGAGAGGGAGTAAACAACTTCCACACAGCTGCCTCACCAATTCGACTGACAAGCTGCAGGAGCTGATCCTGCCCCTGATTGGAGGAGAGCAGTGTGCTCAGCGCATGGGGAGAGAACACCAGGAGAGTTGGATTGGTGAAAAGGTCTAAGGAATATGGAGGAGAGAGACAGGAGAACATCTGAGGAACCTCTGAGAGAGCCGGCTGCCGGTGTGCCGGTGTGCCGCTCCTCCGTGGAGGCGGGGGCAGCAGTTAATCCGGGGGGGACCAGGGGAAGAAACAACAGCAAATCCGTTGCCGCTCCTCCGCGAGCCTGCGGGGCGAGCGACAGCACACCTCTAGATTCTCCCGCCCCAACCTCTAACCTGTGCCTGGTATGGAACTGGCACTGGCACACATTTCAGGGAAGGCTGCAATCCAAACGCCCCCAGAGTTCTGACTCTTCCCAGCCTTATGCCTTCAGCCACGGCACCTTCCTGTACCCAAGGCCAGGCCCTGAACAGCCTGCTTGCTGCGAAACCCTTTCTGCTTACCCTATCCAAACCCCAGATCCTGACCCGACCGCCCAGGCTTGGCGCACCGCCCCCATTTCTTCTGGCCCTGCCACCCTCTAGCCAGGCCTATCTATGGGTCACCAGACCCAGATGTGCCCTACCCTCTGCCCTCACGTAGCTGCCTCCCGAGAAGGGGGCCAGCCAGCGGCCTGGAGTCTGGAGCCTGGGTCCCTGCCAGGCAGCCGTGGGACCCAGGGGTGGCTGTGAGAAAAGAGGCTGGGGAACCTCCAGGGTCTCCCTTCTCCATCTTCATACCCCGAGGCCCGGTGCAGACAGATGAACGGGAAGAGACTGGAGCAGACTGGAGAGGAGGGCGCGAGCGGAGACAAATGTGGGACTCGCCCGACCTCTCGGCCACTCGCTGTCCCGCTCTACGAAGCGCGGGCGTGAGGCCGCCCTCTGTGCGGCTGGATGAGTCTGTCTTTGGAGCTGCGAGGCTCTCTGCACGTTGTGAGGATCGAGGTCCACCGCAGGAGCCGCACCGCCAGGGAGGAGGCGCCCGCCGCGCCAGCTCCACGGTCTTCCAGACAGCTGGGCTGCAGCACCGCACGGCGCCGCCTTGGGTCCTGAAGGGGAGCAGCGGCCCGAAGAGGAGCCCTTGGCTCCAGACGGCAGCTCCCCGGACAGGTACGGTGGTCGGCTCCGCAGACCCAGCTCGCAAACCATCCCAGCCCCTGGTTAGGACGCTGAGGGCTCCCACACTCCTGCAGTGCCCTCAGAAGTGCTGGCTTCCCTGACTCAAAAAACTGACTCTCCAAACAGGGGGCTGGCTCCCAGGAAGTCCAGCACTGAGTGCTGCTGTCAGGCTGTGGGCAGCTGGCACGGACCACTCACCTCCACCTCAACTCCCCATCCTCCTGACTCTGGGAAGGCAGGCCCTGCTGTATAGAGGGAAGCCAAAGCTGACAGATCATCCTCAGGCCTTCAGGACCCAAGCCAGACCGAGCCCAAGGCCAAGCACATGGCAAGTGCTCAAAAAAACACTTGCAGAATTAGGCCGGCGCCGTGGCTCACTAGGCTAATCCTCCGCCTTGCGGCGCTGGCACACTTCCCTTTGGTCCACAGAGACTGGCCTGCGAGTTCTTTACTAGGACACTGATTGCTTATGTCAATAACTGTGTGGGATCATCTGAGGTCTTGCTTTAAAGCTGTTTTATTTATTTATTTGGCAGGTAGAATTACAGAGAGAGAGAGAGAGAGACAGAGAGAGACAGAGAGAGACAGAGAGAAAGGTCTTCCTTCCATTGGTTCACCCCCCCCAAATGGCCAGTACGGCCAGTGCTGTGCCGATCCGAAGCCAGGAGCCAGGTGCTTCCTCCTGGTCTCCCATGCGGGTGCAGGGCCCAAGCACTTGGGCCATCCTCCACTGCACTCCTGGGCCACAGCAGAGAGCTAGACTGGAAGAGGAGCAACCGGGACTAGAACCCAGTGTCTATATGGGATGCCGGCGCCACAGGTGGAGGATTAATCAAGTGAGCCACGGCGCTGGGCCCTGAGGTCTTGCTTTAAAACAGCTTTGGTCCAATAGGTATTTTTCTACATGTTGAATTGGGAAAAAGGAGTATCATTAATTCAATTCAAATCATGAGGTCAAATTTTGATGCAGCTTTTGGCTAAAAAGGAAAGCATTAACAATTAAATATAGAGTGAGATTCTCAATGTATGAGAAGTTCTAAAATGGAGATTATGTTACCTGAAGTGCCAAGAGGACAGGTGGTCAATACAATACACTTCTTTAGGTACCTGCTTCCTGCTGCGGTGAGCGTGCGATGCAGCGGGAAACCGAATGCGTCCTACACACGCCAGGCTGCACGACAGGCATCTCGCACGCGTTAGCCACCGCAGTTCATGCCCATCGCAAGCCCGAGAAGTGGGCTGCGCAGCACAACCTCAGCAGACAAGGATGCCAGCTTTCCTGAGGCTCCAGGACTGAAGGAGGAGGGAGTCAGGAGCCCACCTCCACTGCCCTGGCGTGCTACCCTCAGCGTGGGGTCATTCCGCCCCAGACTGTGGGGTCAGCCTTCTAGAAGAGCTGCTATTCTGTCCCTCCCCTTGCCTGTGGGCAGAACTCAGCCTCTGTGTGTGATGTCCACCTGCTACGGAGGCTGGACTCCAGGCCACAGCTCCCTAAGCAGTGCTGCAGGAAGGGCTAGAGGCCGCGGTCTGCTCAGCTGAGACTCCCACGGCAGCAGTGAACGTTCTGGTGGCCTTGGTAAGCCAGAGCGGACAGGGGAAAGGGGATAGGGCTGTGCAGGGTGGCCCAGCCCTGAACCTCCTTGAGAACCCCCATTGCCCCCGGGCATTCTGTTCTGTGCTCAGCCTTTCCTGTCCCACTTCTGGCAGACCTGCTCCTGGGACGACACTCCACCTCCAGGAGCCAACCAGTGGGGCTGAGTCCATGTGCAGAGTGTTGCCCTGGTGAGCAGTTTTGCGGGAGGAATCCATTGCTGATTCCTTCCCGGCCCTTTCCACGGGCGCTCCAATTCCCTCTCCCAATTGTGCACACACTTGCGAAGCAAACCTGCTCTGTGCAGAGCCAGTGACAGGGTTGGCAGAAGGGCAGCAGCACTTTTGCAAAACTCTTGCTGACTACCCCCAGCCCTATCAAAGTCTGGCCCCTCGCTGGGCCCCCTCAGACCTCTGTGACTTCCTGTCTCACAGCACTCAGAATGCTCGCCTGGCCACATCTCTCACCCCCTGGGAGTGCCTACAGGGCAAGGACTGGGTCCTACGCATACCAGCACCAGGCGCAGTAGCCAGTCTAGCCCTCAGTATTCATTCAGCAGCACTTCCTGGGCACTGCTGTGTGCAAGGTGCCATTCAAGGATGCACTGAGGATGCAGATATGAACTAATGCCTCAGGTTCCTGTCCTCCCAGGGCTCACAAGCCATCTGAGAGACAGGTGAGCAATATGACAGAGGCAGGCATTTGGTGCAGCTTAGAACACAATATCACAATGCCTGGTTTTAGTCTCGGCTCCTCCGCTTCAAATCCAGCTTCCCACGAATGTACGCCCTGGAAGGTATCAGCTCATGGCCCAAGTGCTTGGAGTTCTGCCACCCAGAGTGAGTTCCAGGCTCCTGGCTTTGGCCTGTCTCAGTTTTGGCTGTTGCCGGCATTTGAGAAGTGAACCAGAGGATGGAAGATCTCTGTCTGCTTTTCAACTCAAGTGAACCTAAATAAGTTTTTAAGAAAGAAATATGACAACTATATAATGTTTGGTTCAGAAAATGCTTTGAAAAACATCAAGTATAGAAAGGGGACGGAGACGTGCTTGCTGATATTTTAGAGTCGTTGGGGAAGACTTCTGTAAGGGGCGAGCCATGGAGAGCAGAGTAAACAGAAGGCAATAAACTGGGAAAGGGGCAAGAAAGCTCAAGACTCTAGGACGGGGGCAAGGGTGCAGCAGGTGGACAATAATTGCCTGTCAAGAGAACGAGCAGAAGCAGCACAGGCCTGCCAGGCAGAAGAATGGGGGTCAAGCTCTTCACCTCTCCCCGAACCTGTTTTTGGAACCTGAACCTCAGGGGCAGGTGTTTGGCCTAGCACTCAAGCTGCTGGTTGGGACAGCCACATCCTCTGTCAGGGTGCCTGGGTCCCACTCCCAGTTCTGCTGATTCCAGCTTCCAGCTAATGCGCCCCTGCGAGGCAGCAGGTGATGGCGTCAGTAGTTGGGTCCCTGTCACCATATGGAAGACCTGGATTGAGTTCCTGGCTCCCAGATTCAACCCTCAGCCTAGTCAGCCCATTTGGGGAGCAAATTAGCAAATGGGAGTTCTCTCTCTCTCAAATAAAATCAATAAATAATTGATGACAATCTATAAAACAAGGAAAATATTTGCCTTATGAGATTCTTGTAAAAAGTAAATAAAATCATTTCTGGAAAAGCATATTTTGTGTCTTGCACAGTGCTTGGTGCACAGCAGGCTGCCAGCAATGTTCTTGAGTGCACAGCTAGAGGAGAGAGTGGCTGCCAGGAGGCAGGCTAGGGGTGTGGACTTTAAGCCCCTCTTCTCACCTCTCCCAGGACTAGTACAAAAATAACCGTCAGCCCTGTCTCCTTGTCTTCCTGACCGCACAGGGCGAGGGCATGGGAGAGCCCACCAGCACCCTCCACCCTGAACTTCCCTCTCTCTCCGCAGGTCCCAGACCAAGGCTGTGGCCCCTGAAGCAAGCCCGGAGCGAAGCTGCTCCCTCCACAGCTGCCCCCTGGAGGACCCTTCCAGTTCTTCAGGACGCCCACAAACAAATTCCATCCTCCCGCCTGTGGGTCCATCCAGCCCCTTGGCCCCTGCCCACTTCATCTATCCCCAGGCACCACAGGACTACCAGGGGGGCAGTTCTCTGCTGGGACCGGGGGACCAGACAGCTCTCTGCTCCCATGGCTCCAGCCTCAGCCCCTCCCCAGCCCCCTCACAGCTTGATGGGGCCTGGAAGCCACCCCTGCAGCACCATGTGGTCACCGTCAGGTAAGGAGCGGCCCGGCAGCTGCCACCTGCCGCTGCGAGGCTTCGGAGTGGATCTAGCCCTGGGCGCTGGACTCCCTCATCGCCTGAAGGGGGGCCAGCCTGGATGGAGTAGGAAGCGAGGGTTGGAACTGGGGCATTGGAAAGTCCTAAAAGGGTTCATACCATCTTGTGCTGTCTGCCTCCCCCTCTGTCCCTCAGCCCCTGTCCCCCAGCCCTGCACACACAAGCAAGTGTCTTTTCTTCTCTTTCACAGGCAGGAACAGGCCTTCCAGATGCCAAAGAGGTAGGCCTGGGCCTTCCCTGGACCCCTAGGGGTGACCAGGACAGGCCCGTTAAGCTGTGCTCCAAGTGTCCTCTGCTCCAACACCCCTTCTCCGTGGACCCTAAGCTCACCAGCCCTGCTACCACACCCAACCCCAACTCAGGAGGGCCCCCTCCTTCTTTCCCAGCTATTCCCAGCTGATTGCTGAGTGGCCAGTGGCCATGCTGCTGCTGTGTCTGGGTGTCATCCTCCTCTGCACCATGGCTGGACTGCTGGGGAGCCGGCCTCCTGACTTCTCCGAGCCTCTGCTGGTGAGGCTCCCAGGGCACAGAGAGGGGCTCCCACCCAGGCCGGGCCACTTCAGCTCAGTCTGGGGAAGAAAGTCAGAGTGGCCCAGCTGGGGGAAGGGTAGCAGTGGTGGGCTGTTGACCTCCAGGGGGCTTGGGGAGACAACACAGAGGGCTCACACCCACAGTGCAGGGACCACAGAGGCAGAGCTGGGAAGGGCCCAGGTGGAGAGCTCCTCCTCCGCCCACTGTGTGTCTCTGCCCTCCTCCGCCCACTGTGTGTCTCTGCCCTCCTCCCTCCAGGGTTTCGAGCCTCGGGACACGGACATCGGGCGCAAGCTGGTGGTCTGGAGAACTCTGCAGGTCCTCACGGGCCCCAGAAAGCTGCTTTCCCTGTCCCCAGACCTGGAGCAGAACAGGTAACAGGTTCCCAACTTTGCACTGTGGGTGGGAAAGGGAGGAAGAAGAGGGTGTCCAGGAAGGGGACATCAGGTGACTTCCCCAAAGGGCCAGACAGGCTTGCTGGGGCTCCCAGGGAGGGGGCTCTGCCTCCTTTGAGGCCTCTGCCCCAACAGTGCCCTCTGCCTCAGCTCCAGCTCCCATGGCACCCGGAGCCCAGCACCTGGGGTCGTTGCCCAGGCGAATGTTGTGCGGTCTCGGAGGATGGTGGAGCCCCCAGAGGAAAAGCAGGAGGAGAGCTTCTTCTGCGGCCCCCCAGGTGAGTTCCTGGCCTAGTGGGACAGGCAGGCCAGATCAAATGTGGGCAGAGAGAGAGAGAGAGAAGGCAGCCGGCTGACCACATTCAAACCAAGGAGGCTGGTGACAGCTGGGAGGAAGAGGCCTGTTTCAGAGACTTCAGCCAGGTAGGGTCAAGCTGGGTGGGGGAGGGGAGCCACAGGGACAGGACCAGGCAGCAGGGCACAGGTGGCTGGCTCCTGAGAATCGGAACATCACATGGTCCCGGGGAATAAGCATCTTCCCTTTGGTGGGCCCAGGACCTGGGGCCAAAGGGCTGAGCTTTGTGTGTGGGGGTGTTGCAGAGAAGAGCTACGCAAAGCTGGTGTTCATGTCCACCTCGTCGGGCAGCCTGTGGAATGTGCATGCCATTCATTCCATGTGTCGGATGGAACAGGACCAGGTGAGCTGGCTGGGGAGGTGCCATGGACTTGGGGGTTGAACTGAGGACACAAGGGACCTGATCCCAAGAAAATACAGCCGAGCCAGGCCCGCTGGGTGGGGTGGGGGTGGGGGTGCTCAGGAAGAACATTCCTTGCTTAGACACCAGCCTTGACCCTGCTGAGAGGCCTCAGAGTGGGGTGGGAAAAGAGTGGCCATTTTGGGACCAGCCAAGGTACGGGTGTTGAGAGAGCCCGTGTACAGCCTGGGGATTTGCAGCAGGTCTGAAAAGGGGGAGTTGGCACTACAGGCTTCAAGGCCCAGCCCTCTCCACCCACGCGGTGCCAGTCTGGTCATGCTGACCGGGAAACCGTCCAGGGAAACCTGTGACGGGGATTCTCCTCCTAAAGCCAGTAGCCTAGGCCCTCCCCTTCCTGTGAGGGCACCTGGAGGACCACCAGACACTGGTTAGGAGCAGGTGCTCTGCAGTGAGATGCTAGAGTTCAAGGCCAATGCCCGGGCTCCCTTGCTGCACAGTTTCAGGCATGTTTGTTAACCTCAGTGCCTCCGTGTCCATGGATGGTATTTTCTTCATGAGGACGTTGAGACAATTAGACAAGGCAGAACTGGGGGAAACACAGCATAATGCCTCACCACAGCAGTCACTCGGTAAATGTCCTGTTGGTGTCGCCAAGATCTCACGCCCAGGACCACACAGCCAGTTAGGGCAGAGCAGGGCCTGGGACTCCCACCATGCCACCGGCTGTTGCGACGTCAGCAGCAGGGTGGGAGAGAAAAGGAGGCACAAGGTCTGAAAGGGAAACAGCTCTGGCCCCAGAGGTTGAAGCAGCCCAGTGGACAGAGGTAGGGCGCTGGGGGTTGCCAGCAACCCTCGTCCTGGAATGTCCTGGCTTGTATTTATCTTACTGCTTGCTTCCAGCTCCCTCGGCCCCGTTCCTTCTGTGGCTGCCACCTGCGTTCCCCCTCCTGGGGTGTGTGACCCACACAGGTCCTAAGGGCAGGGCCTCCAAGTCTGGGGCCTCGGGCAGCAACCCTGAGACTCCTCTCTGAGAGAGTCAAGCTGTAGCTGCTGGCCCTCGGGGCCAGGAGCCAAAGGCAGCTCTGGGAGAGCTGGGTCTGCAGGGCTGTCTGTCCCAGCTCCTCTTTGCCTGTGCCTTGCAGCCTGAAAGGAAGTGAGAAGGCCCCGGACAGGGCTGGGGACACTGGGCCCCTGGCACCGCCCTGAGGCCTCCTCCTGCTTGTGTGCGCCCTACAGATCCGCTCCCACACCCGCTTCGGGGCTCTGTGCCAGAGGACGGCAGCCAATGAGTGCTGCCCCAGCTGGTCTCTGGGCAACTACGTGGCTGTGCTCTCCAACCGCTCCTCCTGCCTGGACACCACCCACGCTGACACAGCCCGCATCCTGCTCCTGCTGCGGGCCTGTGCGCTGTACTACCACCGGGGGGCCCTGGTGCCCTCCTGTCTGGGACCCGCGCATGACAAGTCCCCACACTGTGCCCAGGTTCCCACCAAATGCACCCAGAGCAGTGCCATCTACCAACTCCTGCACTTTCTGCTCGATAGGGACTTTCTGAGCCCCCAGACTGCTGACTACCAGGTGCCCTCTCTCAAGTACAGCCTGCTCTTCCTGCCCACCCAGAAGGGGGCCTCCATGATGGACATCTACCTGGACGGCCTGGTCACCCCCTGGGCGATTTCTGACAACTACACGTCCATCACGGGAATGGACCTGGGCCTTAAGCAGGCGCTGCTGAGGCATTACTTGGCCCAGGACACGGTGTACCCCGTGCTGTCCCTGGCTGCCATCTTCTTCGGCATTGCCCTCTACCTGCGCTCGCTCTTCGTCACGCTCATGGTGCTGCTCGGGGTGCTGGGCTCCCTGCTGGTGGCCTTCTTTCTTTACCACGTGGCCTTCCGCATGGCTTACTTCCCCTTCGTCAACCTGGCAGCCGTCATTCTGCTCAGCGGCGTCTGCGCCAACCACACGCTCATCTTCTTTGACCTGTGGCGCCTCAGCAAGAACCAGCTGCCCTCTGGGGGGCTGGCGCAGCGCGTGGCCCGCACCATGCACCACTTTGGCTACCTGCTGCTCGTCTCGGGCCTCACCACCAGCGCGGCCTTCTATGCCAGCTACCTGAGCCACCTGCCGGCCGTGCGCTGCTTCGCCCTCTACATGGGCACGGCGGTGCTGGCGCACCTGGCGCTCACGCTGGCCTGGCTGCCCGCCTCCGCCGTGATCCACGAGCGCTACGTGGCGCGCGGCTGTGCGCCTCAGGGCCCGTGGGGCCGCAGCGCGCCGGGGCGCCTGGTGCTGGCGCTACACCGGCGGCTCCGTGGCCTCCGAAAGGCGGCCGCCATGGGCTCCCGCCTGCTCTTCCAGCGCCTGCTGCCCTGCGGCGTCATCAAGTTCCGCTACATCTGGATCTGCTGGTTCGCGGCGCTGGCGGCAGGGGGCGCCTACATCGGCGGCGTCAGCCCGCGCCTGCAGCTGCCCATCCTGCCGCCCCGCGGCGGCCAGGTCTTCCGGCCCAGTCACCCCTTCGAGCGCTTCGACGCGGAGTACCGCCAGCAGTTCCTGTTTGAGCAGCCTGCTCAGGGCAAAGGAGGCCGCATGCCCGTGGTTTTGGTGTGGGGCGTCCTGCCCGTAGACACTGGCGACCCCCTGGACCCTCGCAGCAACAGTTCCCTGTTGAGCGACCCCGCCTTCTCAGCCAGTGGCCCCGAGGCCCAGCGCTGGCTGCTGGCGCTCTGCCACAGTGCGCGGAATCAGAGCTTTTTCGGCCCCCAGCCGGAGGGGGGTCCCACGCTGTGTTTCATGGAGGCCCTCCAGCGCTGGATGGAGGGCCCTGGCTGTGCCCGCCTGGGCCCCGACCTCTGCTGCGGGCAGTCGGGCTTCCCCTGGGCCCCCCAGCTTTTCCTGCACTGCCTCAAGATGATGGCTCTGGAGCAAGGCCCCAATGGCACCCGGGACCTAGGGCCCCGCTTTGATGCCCAGGGCAGCCTAGCTGCCCTGGTGCTGCAGTTCCAGACCAACTTCGAGTACAGTCCAGACTACAGCCAGATTCACCACTTCTACACCGAGGTCAGCCACTGGCTGGCCACGGAACTGCGCGCGGCGCCCCCTGGCCTCCGTGGCGGGTGGTTCACCAGCCGCCTGGATCTGTTCAGCCTGCAGCACAGCCTGAGCACTGAGCCTGCGGTGGTGCTGGGCCTGGCTCTGGCGCTGGCCTTCGCCACGATGCTTCTGGGCACCTGGAACGTTCCGCTCAGTCTGTTCTCCGTGGCTGCCGTGGCTGGCACTGTGCTGCTCACCGTGGGACTCCTGGTTCTCCTCGAGTGGCAGCTCAACACTGCCGAGGCCCTCTTTCTCTCTGCCTCCGTGGGCCTCTCCGTAGACTTCACAGTCAACTACTGCATCTCTTACCACCTGTGCCCACACCCTGACCGCCTGAGCCGCGTGGCCTTCTCGCTGCGCCAGACCAGCCGCGCCACCGCCGCGGGGACCGCAGCCCTGTTTGCAGCTGGCGTGCTCATGCTGCCTGCCACGGTGCTGCTCTACCGCAAGCTGGGCATCATCCTCATGATGGTCAAGTGTGTCAGCTGTGGCTTTGCCAGCTTCTTCTTCCAGTCTCTGTGCTGTTTCTTTGGGCCCGAAAAGAACTGTGGACAGATCCTCTGGCCCTGTGCCCACCTGCCGTGGGACATTGGAACCGGCGATCCTGCCGGGGAAAAGTCAGGCCACCCGCGACCTGGCTCAGTGGGAGGGGGGTCCGGGTCCTGCTCAGACCACTATGAGCTGCAGCCCCTGGCCCGGCGCCGGAGCCCCAGCTTCGACACCAGCACAGCCACCAGCAAGCTGTCCCACCGGCCCTCAGTCCTCTCTGAGGACCTGCAGCTGCACGATGGCTCCTGCTGCTCCCGGCTCCCGCCGGCCCCCGCCTCCCCCAGGGAGCTGCTGCTAGACCACCAGGCGGTCTTCAGCCAGTGCCCAGCCCTGCAGACCTCCTCCCCTTACAAGCAAGCTGGCCCTAGCCCCAAAACCCAGGCCAGGCAGGAGCCCCAAGGGCAGAAAGATGAGCCCCTGCAGGCCTCCCCTGAAGCCCCGCCCCACTCCCCCAAGACCAAGGCCGAAGAGCTTCCTGATGGCCTCTGCTCATCAGCCAGCACCCTAGAGGGGCTCAGCGTCTCCGACGAGACCTGCCTAAGCACCTCTGAACCCAGCGCCCGAGTGCCAGATTCCATGGGCGCCTCCCCGGAGGACCTGGATGACACTGGGCAGCCAGTCCCCGAGCGGGGCCAGCTGAATGGGAAACGGGACACCCTGTGGCTGGCCCTGAGGGAGACGGTGTACGACCCGTCACTGCCCGCCTCCCACCAGAGCAGCTCATCCTGGAAGGGCCGTGGAGGGCTGGGGGATGACAGCCCCGTGATGCTGCCCAATAGCCAGCCCGATCTGCCCGATGTTTGGCTGCGCAGGCCCAGCAGCCACACCTCAGGCTATAGCAGCTGAGGGGGCCCAGGGAGGCAGCACCGGGGCTCAGAACTCCTGCTGGGGGAGGGTAAGGCAGGGGAGGTCCCACCCCCAATCCACATGGGGAGGTCCCACCCCCCAGCTGTGGGTTTTAAACCCTGCCCAACGTTCTGGCCTTGATCAGGCCGTTACTCACCCTTCTGGTCTGGAGGCCTCAGCGGACACCAGGCTGTCCTTATGGCCTGCTGGGGACCTCTCTGTCCCCTACAGTGCCAGCCAGGAGCCCTCCTCTGGAAAGGGGAAAAGCCAGATGGGAGAACCTGGCCCCCATCCCCAGTGGCCAGAAGACCGTGAAACCGAGGGCCCCTGTCCCCAGGCCCCTGTCAGGTGCCTCACTGACCAGCATGGCCCCCGGGGTGCCCCGCAGCCTCCTGGGTCTCACCTCCCTCCCTCATGGGCTATTGGTCAGGGCACTGCCCTAGGCCAGAACTGGGCGAAGCCCCTGTGCTCAACTTCCCTGCTCTCCTCGCTGTCCCCAGGCTGAGCAGGAAGTCCCCAAGGCCAGGCAGAGTTGCTTGTGGGAGTGAGCAGGAGGAGGAGGGAGAACGGTCAGCCTCGGAGCACCCCAGAATGGCATGACAGTCCCTGCGGGAGCAGGCTTGGGTGCTGTCCTAGTAATAGACAGCAGCAACCCTGTCAGTCCCCGGAACCTCGCTGCCTCACCAGGGGAGCCTGTGGCTGGTCAGCTGCTTCTATGCCAACTTCAAGGTCAAGACATGGAAACTAAGGAAGGCTCACTGATTGACCCCACGCGCTACAGCTGTCCAGTGGCACAGTGCATTCCTGACTCAGTCCACCTCTCCCTTCTCTCCCCCGGCTACCTGTTTCAGGGATGTTGTCCTGTGGCTGTCTCGACCCTTCATGGCTCACACCCTGTCCACTGGCCTCCGCCAGTGTCTCTGAGTAGCCCTCCCTCCCTCCCTCTCCAGAGAGAGCTGGATTCTGAGCAAACCCAGCTTTCCTGCCCATCTCCCCGAACTTCCCTCTGAAACGGCTGAGATGCCTGCCAGCCGTGGGGCGTCCTGGTGGCTCTGATTCTTTGGCTTGGGGCAGGCCTCTTCCTCCCAGGGGCAGTGCTGCAGGCGAGCAGAACCCAGCTGAGGCAGGAGCTCAGACCTGCCCTCTGTGGGAGTGCGTGAGTCTGAAGCTGCTCCCCAGGTCGTGTGCCCCCCCCACCCCCGCTCCTAAGGACTTGTTTCTCTGCAGGGCATGCAGCGGGCAGGCTGAAGCTTGGCTCCCCCACCCCTAACAGTGTGACGTGTGACAGCCTGTGACTCTAGGTAGTGTCCACATGTCGACTGAATGCCTGCTTTACATTATTTGCATGGTTATGAGGCGACAGGGCTGTGGAAGGCAAATCGAACAGCCGCCCTGGAAGAGCTCGCCTGCCAGCGGGGAGGCAGCTCCTGTTCACACGCAGACGTCAGTGAGGGCACTGAGGGTGCCCACGCCTGGCGCCGTCATTGCTGCCGGAGCTCAGGCTCCCAAGACGAGGTGATCCGGAAGGCTTTCTGGAGGAGGAGGGACTTGGGCTGGGCTTCAGCAGACCCTGTGCCGGACCAGAAGGGGCCTTAGCAATCATGTAATGCGCAATTTTCAAGCCTGGAACCTTTAGGACCCTTTCTTCAAAGAACCCTGTGTAGAAACCCAGCACGCAAAACGGATGCAAAGCAGCTCCTCCGGTGGGCGCCAGGCTGAGGAGTGCAGGAGCAGCGTGGCCTCGGCCTGAACCGCAGCCTCTCGGGGGCCCCGGGGAGCCCTTCAGGCCCCCAGCAGCTCTACAGAATGTGACAGGAAAACCACTGGCTGTGTCACAGACGGGCATCAATCAGGAAAGGGCCAGCCAGGCAGCTGGGGGCAGAGCTGCAGGCACAGGAGAGGTGATTTTGTTTTACTTCTCTATTGAGACCTACCTCCCACCCCAAGTCACCCATGAGAAGTGGAGCAGAAATCCCAGTGAGACCTGGGAGTTGTGCAAGAGACAGAGGACAGTACCATCCTCCCTATACCCACAGGGACCTTGGCTCCAGGACTCCTAACCCCTCCCCACCCGCCCCCATGGATACCAAAATCCCTTATGTTCAAGTCCCTTATAGAAGACGGCGTAGTATTTGCCTATAGCCTGCACATATCCACCTGTACACTTCGTCCTCTCTAGATTACTTATAATACCTGATGCAATGTAAATGCTATGGAAGTTGTAGTTATATTGTATTGTCTAGGGAATTGTGGCAAGAAAAAAAATGTCCCTACTTGTTCAATACAGACGCAAATATTTTTTTCCACTACTTTTGAAGGTGTGGTTGATTGATTCAACTGCCGAGCTCATGGATACCTAGCAAGACGAGTAAGGTAGATAAGTCCTGACACCCAGAGAGGGACACGCTGACTAGGCCTGTCACCCTGGGACTGCTCTGTCTTCATGTCCATCGTGTAGCATTCAGCCTCTCTGGCCTGGGGCTGCTCCCCAAGGTCCTGGCTTCTCTGCCCACGGACCACGTCCCTCACGGCCAGACTGCCTGAGCAAGAGCCCAAGTCCTGCTTTGACAAGAAAGAGAATCCAGCATCGTAGTTGCTTCTCAGCAACTCGTCAAGGCTCTTCTACCCCGTGCTGGGGGTACCAACAGGCCCCTTTAGTGTCATGCAAAGGAAGGCATTGGTATCGGAGACTGGGGCTTTAAACAGTGCCTGAGCACAACAAATGTTGAAAAGATACACGGAGAGCTGGGTAGGTCCCAGCAATTTGGGCACACATTGGGGCCCTACTTGAGGATTTTTGCAATCTATTGCCACACAACCCTCAGGGAGGCAGATGAGCCAGAGTAGCTGGTATATGGACTGGGTTTGGTGCTTTTGGTTTTTGTTTGGGGGGGGGCTCTTAAAAGATTTATTTGGGGCCAACGCCATGGTGTAGTAGGTTAGGCCATCTTCTACAGTGCCAGCATCCCATATGGGTGCCAGTTTGAGACCTAGCTGCTCCACTTCCAATCCATCTCCCTGATAATACACCTGGGAAAGCAGCTGAGGATGTCCCAGATCCTTAGGTCCCTGCATACATGTGAGAGACATGGAAGAAGCTCCTGGCTCCTGGCTTCGGCCTGGCCCAGCCCTGGCTTTTGTGGCTATCTGGGGAGTAAACCAACAGATGCAAGATCTCTTAGGGTGGCCCCAACCCACAGCAGGGGTCCAGCCTGCTTCTCTAGCCCTGCCTTTGGAATGTAGGAATTAAAGCATTTTCAATTTCTTCTGAGATTCAAAGCAGAAGATCTGTTCACTTGGTTCTTACTATGGGCGGTCACAGTGAAGGTGTGGCCTTGGACACACATGGCTTAGCAGCATGCTGCCAGGCACGAGATAACCGGGACACCCACGTTTGCCTTGCACTGTGACCTTGTGAAATAGAACGGGTGTAACATTCACATGGGGCTCGAGGTCATTGCTCCTGTTTGTGCCACAGAGCCTTGAACTCACACTTAGAGTGCTCGTGTGCGTGCTGAATGCCTTTGAAATAAAACTCCATGCAGTTTGTTACCGTGGGGAAGCCCATCCTTCCTGGCAGTGGTGCTCTGGGGCGTGGAGAATGACAACGCTAGACGGAGATCCATTTGACTGGCAGAGTTTTAGATTTTACTGCCTTGTGGCACATCTCACACCATGATATTTAGACATTACCTCAGCTTGAGCCAACTTAAAAACAGCCATTTCTGCTGGTTCAAGTCCCAGCTGCTGCACTTTTTTTCTTACTTGAAAAGCAGAGTTACAGAGACAGAAGGAGAGGCAGAGAGGTCTTCCATCTGCTGGTTCACTCCCCACAGGGTCACAATGGCCAGTGCTCAGACAGGTGGAAGCCACAATACCATGACTCCGCAACCTCCCCACCCCCACCCTGCCACCTTCTCCCATCCAGCTCCCTGCTGATGTGCCTGAGAAAGCAGCAGATGATGGCCCAGGTGCTTGGGCCCCACCACTCACATGGAAGATCCAGATGGAGTTCCATGCTCCTGTTTTGGGCTTTGCCCCATCCCAGCCATTGAAACCATTTGGGAAGTGAGCCAGCACTTGGTTCACTATATATAATTGCCTTTCTTTTTTTTTTTTTTTTTAATTTGGCAGGCAGAGTTAGACGTGGGAGAGAGACAGAGAGAAAGGCCTTTTTTCCATTGGTTCACCCCCCAAATAATCACTATGGCTGGCGCTGCGCCAATCCAAAGCCAGGAGCCAGGTGCTTCCTCCTGGTCTCCCATGTGGGTGCAGGGGCCCAAGCACTTGGGCCATCCCCCACTGCCTTCTCTGGGCCACAGCAGAGAGCTGGACTGGAAGAGGAGCAACCGGGACTAGAACCCGGTGCCCATATGGGATGCCGGTGCTGCAGGTGGAGGATTAACCAAGTGAGCCACAGTGCCGGCCCCTAATTGCCTTTCAAATAAATAAATAAGAACCATTTCATAGGAGGTTTCTAAACCAAACTTCCTCAGTACCTTCCCGTTCAATCCATTCTTCCAGTGCATGACAAGACAGGGGAGCAGGGGAGCAAGTTAGGCAAGAGGGTACCTTGGTTGCATCCTCTGCCAGTTGTCCAGAGAGTTTCTGAGCCTCATCCCAACCTTTGATAACATGCCTGGGCAACAATAAGTTCTCTGGCACCCCCTGCCAAGCATGAAGATCCCATTTACCAGGGATTAGCAAAGATAGCCATTGCTCATCACCCTTATTCATAGGGACCTTAACTGGAGGTCCACAGGCATTTATGCCTAAGAGGGAGAATTGTAACTCAGGGCCAAGCATCATGGCAATGGGTTAAGCCACTGCTGCACAACACTGGTACCCTGTATCAGATCACTGGTTCAACTCCCAGCTGCTCCACTTCCAATTTAGCTCCCTGTTAATGAGTCTGGGAAAGCAGTGGAAGATGGCCTCTTTCTCTCTACCCCCCCCCCCATTCTGTCACTTTGCCTTTCAAATAAATATATTTGAAAAATTTTAAAAAAGATTGCTGAGGCCAACACTGTGGTTTAACTGGTTAAGCCACTGCCTACAACCCATATAGGCACCAGTTCGTGTCCTGGCTGCTCCACTTCTCATCCAGCTCCCTGGTAATCACCTGGGAAAGCAGTGGAAGAGGGCCCAAGTGCTTGGGCCCCTGCACCCACGTGGGAGACCTGGAAGAAGCTCCTGGATTTGGATTGGCCTAACTGTGGCTGTGGCTGTTGTGGCCACCTGGGGACTGAACCTGTGGATGGAAGACCCCTCTCTCTCTCCCTCCCTCCCTCTCTCCCTCTTTCTCTCTCTCTCTCTCTCACTCTGTAACTCTGCCTCTCAAATAAATCTTTAAAGAAATTTTAAAGTCGATTACTAACAGTTTAGACATTGCAGGAAAAAAGACAGTAGATCTGAAGACATAACAATAGAAATCATTCAAAATGAAACACCAAGAGAAAAGGAAATTTAGAAATGAATAAAAAGCAGACACAGTACACAACAGGCAAAAGATCTGTCCCTCACAACTATTTAAAGTTAGGAAAAAAATCTAGGCATCAACTACCCAGTGAGGGAACACATTGATTTTTAAAGTTATTTTGTGGGAGTGGGAGGGAGAGTCGGTGTTTTGGTACAGTGGGTTAACCAGCTGCTTGCAACACCGGCATCCCCTATGAGCACTGGTTTGAGTCCTTGCTGCCCTGCTTCCAATCCCACTTCCTGCTAATGTGCCTGAGAAAGCAGTAGAAGATGACCTACATGCGTGGGCCCTTGCCATCCACATGGGAGAACTGGATGGGGTTCTAGGCTCCTGGCTTCAGCCTGGCCCAACCCTAACTGTTGTAGCCATCTGGGGAGTGAAGCAGTGGATGAAAGATTTCTCCATTTTTCTTGGAGCCAGTGCTGTGGCACAGCAGGTTAAAGCCACGGCCTAAAGTGCCGGCATCCCATATGGGCGCTGGCTCGAGTCCCGGCTGCTCCACTTCCAATCCGGCTCCCTGCTATGGCTGGGAAAGCAGTAGAAGATGGCCCAAGTCTTTGGGCCCCTGCACCCACATGGGAGACCCAGAAGAAACTCCTGGCTCCTGGCTTCAGATAGGCTAAGCTCCAGCCATTGCAGCCATCTGGGGAGTGAACCATCGGATGGAAGACCCCTCTCTCTACCTCTCTCTGTAACTGTCTTTCAAATAAATAAAATATTTTTTTAAAAAAAGGAATATTTCTGTTTCTCTCTCTTCTCTTGCATAGCCTTTCAAATAAATAAATAATTAAGCCTTTAAAAAAGTTCCTTGCAGGGAGGGGTCTCTGAACAAATGGATTTGAAGCATGCTCTGGATCTCTTCATTCCCCTTCAGTCCTCCTGCTGCCTCCTGAGCACTTCTCTCAGCAGGCGCCGTCCCTCAGCAGGTGCATCTCTTAACATCTGCGTCTTTGAGCAAGCCCTTCCTTGACGCCCACAGCCCCCTCCGGTGGCTGCCCGATGGCTGTGCTGCAGTCACACAGCCTCTAGCATCTGCACCTGCCCTGAGAGCGCTCCCGGATTCTTCAGCTGTTCCAATGTGTCTTCCACTCCAAACCCTCCACCAGGAATTCCTCTGGTTCCACCCGCCCAGGGCTTCTTGACTGCTAAATTCAAAGCAGCCACATTTGTTCTCACCGTGCTTGCCTTTTCCACCATTCCCTCCCTCCTGCGCCCCTTGCCACCAGGAGGCCTTCCTGGTGTCTGGGATACCACTCTGTTTTCATTTTCTTCTCACCTCTCTGGCACCTCTTTATCAAGTTTCTTGGCAGGCACCTTTTTTTATCACTGCAAATTCTAAATGCAGGTGTCCCTGTCCTTGGCCCCAGGGCTCCTGCTACATTTATTCTTGATGGTGGTCTGTCGTTACCCATCAAAATGAACCTGGGCTGCTCCCCCCTGGGCAGCTAATTCAGCAGAGACCAGAGTCAAGATTCGACACAAGGGAAAAGTGTATTATGAGTAGCCGGAAGAGGAAGAGTGGGTCTCCTGGTGCCAGATATGCTCTTCCTAGTAAGCAAGTCAGCAGGACTTCTGAGGGGAGACGGCAGTTGAGAGAGGGTGGGAAGACAGTGAGTCTGGGACTGACTCTCAGGCAGGTTTTCATGGTCCTTTCCAATGGTCATCCCGGTGCTAGCTAAGTAGAGCTGCTTTGGTGTGAAGCTTGGCTGCTTACAGCTAGTGGGCTGTGTCTCCCTTATCTGAGGCATGATGCCTGCCATTCTGGCCACTTCCTTGCGGTTCGCTCCTGACACTCTTAGGCACACATTATTTATCGATTTGTACATTCTGATTAAGTCACAGGGCTAGTGGTTAGTTTTTGCTAAAGTTCACGGAATGGAGGATATAATCATTACTGCTGTGATTTCTTCAAATCCATATGCATACTAACAACAACCAGATTCCCCTTTGTACACAGGCACTTCTAGAAGTTCAGGGACAGACATTGCAGCACAGTGGGTTTAGCCACAGCTTGGGACACACATCCCATTTTGGAGTTCCAGTTCAAGTCCTGGCTCCCCTGCCTTTTTTTTTTTTTTTTTTTTTAATTTATTTATTTGAAAGGCAGAGAGTTACAGAGAGGCAGGGAGAGAGAGATAGAGAGAGAGATCTTCCATCCACTGGGTCACTGTCCAAATGGCCACAACAGCTGGAGCTGGGCTGATCAGAAGCCAGGAGCCAGGAGTTTTGGAGTGCAAGGACTCAAGCACTTGGGCCATCTTTTGCTGCTTTTTCCAGGCCATTAACAGGGAGCTGGTCCCCACCCAAACAGCATCTTAAAAGGCTGTTGTGTGAAACATCTGCCCTGACTCATCAACTTAAACCAGGTTTCCCCACTTTTCTGTCTCATAGCGTCTTGTAATTTTCCTTCAGTTACCACAATTGGCAAATTACTTGCGTGATTTTTTAAAAAAATATTTACTCTCCGTTTCCTAGAATATAAACTCCATGAAGGTAGAGCCAAGGTCAGTCTTGTAATTTGTTCTCGCTCACCCCGACCCACCCTCTTAGAGTGAGTGCTCTGTGAATATTTATTGAATGAAATGAGTACAAGTACTAAATGACTGACAACTCTGCCCGGTCTATTAGGAACAGCTGTGGATCTTTAAAATATGGGTAAGTGCTATTTAAGTCGGACAGGCAGGTAGGTGCCTCAGGCACCTAAGCACACAGGCACAGGTGGCCGCCATCTTCAGCCTTACCTGTTACTCCGCACCCTGTAGTGCGCAGTTCTCATATAAATAATCTCCGCTCCTGACAGCATCCCCAGCCATGACAGACTAAATAAAGAGGATTATGACACTGACTCTAAACGCGGCCACGTTTGCGTCCCCAGGCTGGAATATGACGCCGGCGGCTCATTAGCTCCAATCAGGTACGCGAAGTGCGGCTCACTATCTGGCCGCCGGCCTCCGCTCGGTCTTTCCGTACAGCATGGCAGCCCCCAGAGCGGCGGCCTCCGACAGGGCCTTCCGTACAACAGGGCCACCTCCGGAACGCGAGCCGCGCCCCTTCCCTCCCAGCTACCGGAAGTTGCCCTTTGAAACCGAGGCGGCGGGCTCAGCCGGCGGCGCGGCGGTTGCTGCTGAGCGTCTTTTGAACCAGAGCAACAAGGACTGCGGGCGGGAGCGGCGGGCGCCTGGGTTCGACTTTTCCGGGACGAGGGAGAGGGCTGGATGTGAGGGCGGGCGGGCAGGGCTGCGAGTGGAGGGTTTGCTCTTCCCCGACGCCGGGCCCGCGACCATTCGGTCGCCGTGGCCGAGCGCTGGGTAACGTTCGTCTTGCTCCTTCCAGGGCCCAGCCGTGCAGCCTGCTTACGATGACCAGCGTGGTTAAGACGGTGTACAGCCTGCAGCCCCCCTTGCTGAGCGGCGGCTTGCCCGCAGGTGGGTGTCGCCCTGCGGACCCGCCGTGGGTGTGGCGGGGAACGAGATGCGGGCATCCCGTGGGCTCTGAAGACCTGCTGGGCCCCCTAGAACCAGGCTGTCCAGGTTTTTGATGGCAGTTAGGATTTTTTAGTCCTGGCCGGAACCCTTCCTGTCTGCACCACGCCGACCGTTCCGTTCTCGCTGTGGGTTGTATAATACGATGACCGTTAAGCTAGGGACCCCTTTTTAGACGGTGGTCCGTTTTATTTCCAGACTCGGCTACCTGGCGGAACCTTGTGGTCAGGCAGGAATGTAGGGGCAGTGAGATGCTGGGGAGGGGAGTCGTGGGATTGCTGGTTCACCTTGTGTCTGCACAGGGGCTCTCTCATAAGCACGATCAATAACCTTTGAGTGAAGGCGGGGGTGTGTGTGTCAAGCCTAGCCAGAGGGTTTGAGACCTGGGAGGAGAGAGAATGGCTGTTAGCTGCTTTGCCATCTTGCTTTGCTTGTGCTTGGAAGTCATCTCCGGGGGTTAGCGGTCCTGGGACAGCCTCATGGGGAGATGATGGCATGGAGTTAGCTCTCGACAGGAGAAAACTGTCGTGTGCGTGCCGTTATGGCGCATCTGTTTATGGCCCCTTCCAAGAATTCTCTGCAGCTGGCTGATGTGCTAGGGGACAGTTAATCTTCAAGGTAAATAGGCTTTTCTCTGGAGGCTGAAAGGGTTTTTTTGTGTGTGTTACCTCAGAACACCTGAGGAGTGGCATTCTTGGCATTGGCAGGGACTGGGCGTGGCGGGAGGAACTGGCCCCAGGTCTCCACAGCGCCTCTGTTCCCTGCAGGTGCAGTGCCCCTGGCTCAGCACCAGTGACTGCCTCTCCCTGCCTCCTTGCAAGCTTTCTGCAACTGCGGTAGATGAACAGTTTTAGGCTGTCACTAGGTTTTCTGTCTTGACTTAGAGCATAAGTTGGTTGTTTTTTAAGGTGGTTTTTTTTTTTTTTTTTTTTGACAGGCAGAGTTAGAGAGAGACAGAGAAAGGTCTTCCTTTTTCCGTTGGTTCACCCCCCAAATGGCTGCTACAGCCAGCGCACTGCGCCCATCCGAAGCCAGAAGCCAGGTGCTTCCTCCTGGTCTCCCATGCGGGTGCAGGGCCCAAGCACTTGGGCCATCCCCCACTGCCTTCCCGGGCCACAGCAGAGAGCTGGACTGGAAGAGGAACAACCAGGACAGAATCCGGCGCCCCAGCCGGAACTAGAACCCGGGGTGCTGGCGCCGCAGGCAGAGGATTAGCCTAGTGAGCCGCGGCTCCGGCCCAGTTTTTATGAATGATTTATTTATTTATTTGAAAGGCAGAGTAGCAGAGAGGCAGAGAGAGAGAAATCTTCCATCTGCTGGTTTGCTGGCCAGTCCGAAGCCAAGAGCCAGGAGCTTCTTCCAGGTCTCCCACACGAATGCAGGGTCCCAAGGACTTGGGGCATCTTCTACTACTTTCCCAGGCCATAGCAGAGAGCTGGGTTGGAAGTGGAGCAGTGGAGTCTCAAACCAGTGCCCATATGGGATGCCAGCACTACAGGCAGTGGCCACAGCGCCGGCCCCTGCTTTTTAAGTTTTTTTTAATAGGTAGTATATGCATATTAAAAAAAAAAAGTTAGGAAATGATAGTGAAAAGCAAGTTTCCTTCCCTCAATTGACAAGAGCTGGTTTTCCTCCCTGTCTCCCCTTTTAAGAGACAGTGTTTGTTACATCCTACCACATTGTTCCTACAAAGCAAACCATGGTTTCTGACAAATGTGGGTTAATAGAATCAATTCCAGTCAATGAAGTGTGAATTTTTATCAGTTTACCATTAACTCTGTTTTACATGAGGTCTATTTGTTATTATATATACCTTGATACTTATGGTAGAAGAAGATAAATATATTACCCCAGAGTTTCCTTTTACTTCAGACACCTTAAAAAAAAACATGTAATATTTGCTTTTGTTAAGAGTAATGAAAATAGAGAGGACAGGTGTCCAGTAAATGTACCTATAAAAGAAAATTGGCCTGAGGCGCCAGTGTTACAGCATAGCAGGTTAAGCTGCCACCTGCGTTGCCAGCGTCCCATATAGGTGCCAGTTCCTGTCCGGGCTGTTCCACTTCGGGTCCACCTCCCTGCTAATGTCCTGAGAAAGCAATAGAAGATGACCCAAGTGCTTGAGCCCCTGCACTCTGGAAGAAGCTCCTGGCTTCAGCCTGGCCCCATGTTGGCTCTTGTGGCCATCTGTGGGGGTAAACCAGCAGATGGAAGATCTCATTCTCAGTCTTTCAAAATAAATAAATAAATCTTATAAAAAAAAAAATGTTGGCCTCATTTATTTCAAGCTTGTACAGCTTGTTACCCAATTAAGATTTTATCAAGTCCGGTTATGAAATTTTCTAATCTCACAGTCGTATTTTTTGCTTTTCTTGTTAAGATTTGTTTGAAAGGCAGAGATACAGAGCGAGAGCGAGACACAGGCAGAGATCTTCCAGCCTCTGTTCACTCCTCAAATGGCCACAATGGTCAGGGCTAGGTCAGGCCAAGGCAAGGAGCCTAGAACTCCATCCAGGTCTCCCACGTGGGTGGTTGTGGCTTAACCCGCTGCACCACAATGCCAGCCCGTGTACCTAGTTTTTTCAGCTTGATAAGCCTCTGAAGTTGAGCTCAAAGGACCATTTTACATTTGTGTGAGTGTTGTGTGAGTGTGAAGCTTAACTCCAGAATCAGTCGCTTGGATTTGCTGTTACCGTGCCTGGTGGTCATAGCATGTGTAGTTGTAACGTGAGGCAAGGAGGTGCGGTCCTTGGCAAGGCCATTTCTCTGATCATCCAGCAAGGCCCAGAGAGCAGACCAGAAGGGTTGCCAAATAAAGGCCCTCCAGACTTAGTGAAGGATAAACACGCTGCAGGGGCCCGTGGGGGAGGCAGCCAGCCTGGAAGAGGGGACGAGGAGGGGTCCGACCCGAAGGTCAGTGGACCTCTACGCAGGCACCGGGGACACAGAGATGTCTCTGAGAGGGGTTGGGGAGACATTCTGGTGTAAAGGACTTGGCAGCCACCAAAAGCAAAACTCAGAGCAGCTTGGGCACTGCCTTAGGGAACTGCTAAGTGGCACGATTCCTCTGGTGCCTGAGTGAGCAGTGTTTGCTTTGCTCTGCTAACTTCCACGGTCGTGTTCGGGAAGTGCGTGGCTCAGATCAGCCTCTGCTCACAGCTCTATCTCTGTCCTCTCATTTGATGTGTCATCAGGCACACTGCTGTGACGGTCAGGTATTTTAATCTCTATTGCCATTTAGTGTAGAAGGCTTATTCTTTAGAGTTGACCTGAGCAGACTGAGCGTGGCTGGTGTGAAAATGCAGCGTTTGTTACAGGGTTGCACCTGTCTGGTCTTGATGCCTGAGGTTTCACCTGCCTGTTTTCCTTTGCAGACACACAAGCTCGAGCCACTTCTAAGAGTCTTTTACCTGTTAAGTCCAAAGACGTGGATGTTTCCAGACACGTTCATTCAGGAGGCTCAGAGAACGAAATCACGAAAATCACCAAACCGAGGCGAGAGAATGGGTGAGAGTCACCTGTTGGCATCCAGTGGGAACTTCTTGCTAGAAACTGTGCAGTACTGAGAATTAGGAAATAGGGCTCTGGGTGCACAGGGCTCCTGAACGACTGGCATAGTGTTGAGCTGTTTGTCAGGGCCTGTGCGTTGGCCCCTTCTGGAGAGACAGCAAGGGCTCAGGTGAGAGGTGTTCTCTCCTCTCGCCACCTGCTTTAAGCATACAAAGGGCAGTGCCATGGTCACATAGCAGCCCTGAGTGGTGGTCATGGGGGGCGAGACTTAGTTGTTAGCCGAGGTTGCCAGTCAGAGCAGACTCCACCTGCAGTGGAGCACGTGTGTGCCCCCTGCTCAGGTCTCGGTTCCGTGGTGAGCGAGGCTGACATGCTGACTTGGGCAGGGCCAGGAGCAGATTGTTGGTCCCGAGAGCCCTCTCGCTGACCATGAGCCTTTTGCGTAGTCCGTGCTGAAGCAGTGTTGCTGGGGCCCCCAGAGCAGGCGAGCCGGTGCTGTTTGCCTCGCGTGTCATCTCTGTTCTGCCTTGTTCGCAGCACGGCACAGTGGTTCCACGGCTCTCTAATTAGCTGATCTGTGCTTGCTCCTCTAGGCAGCTGAGAGCTGCGGACACTGCCATCAGGAGGAATGTCAAGAAGAGGTGAGCACCCAGAAAAATGGGCCCGGCTGCCGTTTTGCAGTAGTGGATCTCAATCCTGGTTGAGATCACTCATGGGATTTGTGATCATCGAGCTCTGTGTACCACCCCAGAAACCTGAGTGGGTGTTTCAGCAGTGAGGCCCGGCCAGTTGTAATCACTGTTGAGGTGTAAAATCACTGGTGCTGCATCTTTTGGGGCTTCCTGTCGAGACCGTTGCTAATCAGAATCAAGTCCAGCACAAACTATGCCACAGCAGTAGGATTGTGAAGCCTTCACGGGAGGAGGGGCCGAGGGGAGCTGCCGATCTCAGCATGAATATTGTGGTGGTGGTGGAGGTGGAATTGGAATTCTATAGAATGATCCATCTCTCCCTGTTCGAAGCTGGCTTGGAAGTTTTACAGTCCTGAATTTTAAAATAATAAATTAAAAGTTCACAAAGATACGTTCTAATTCCAGATTTGTGTTTAACAAGTTTGGAGGGCCGGCATCTGGGGTGGTAGTTGAGACACTGCTCGGGAACCCGCACGCCATTGTGGGTCGCCTGGTTCAAGTCCCAGCTCTGCCTTCACTTCCGCCTTCTTGCTGATGCGCACCCTGGGAGGCAGCAGTGACGGCTTCAGTGTTTGGGTCTCTTCCAACCACACGGGAAACCTAAATTGGGTTTCAGCCTGGCCCAGCCCTGGCTGTTACTGGCATTTGGGGAGTTGACCCATGGACGGAAGGTCTCCTTAATGTTTTGAAGACAAAATTGTAGTGGGAAAGATTGAGGCACCATCCATATCTCCGCTTGAGAGGGACATGGGTGTCGAGCACAACTGTCCTGGCTTCCAGCGCTTGATGAAACCTGAGATCAGGGCCTCTGGCCAAACTTCTGCAGCTTGTGTCCTCGGAGTGTTCATTGTCTCCCTGCGGGCGGAGGTGCAGCTCTCTGTAAGTTTGCTGTGGCTGAACCAAGAAAGAAGGCATGTGCAGATGTTTACGGGAACTATGATCCTATGACAGCTGTTGAGATGCAGAAAGCTAGTATCCTGCATGGTGCAGAGAGATTTAGTGATGGAAAGAGTTCCTTTCTTTCTTTTTATTTTTTTAATTGACAGAGTTAGACAGTGAGAGAGACAAAGAGAAATGTCTTCCTTCCATTGGTTCACCCCCCAAATGGCCACTACGGCCGGCGCTGCGCCAATCCGAAGCCAGGAGCCAGGTGCTTCCTCCCAGTCTCCCATGCGGGTCCAGGGGCCCAAACACTTGGGCCATCCTTCACTGCCTTCCTGGGCCACAGCAGAGAGCTGGACTGGAAGAGGAGCAACTGGGACTAGAACCCGGTGCCCATATGGGATGCTGGCGCCACAGGCGGAGGATTAATCAAGTGAGCCATGGTGCCGGCCCTGGAAAGAGTTTAAGTTCTGTAGAAGTTTGTCACTGACCTGTGTTCCTGAACAGTGAAACATGATATTACATGCCTGAGGAATAGATTCTTTTGATAAATAATTGACAAATATGGAGGGGGAAGGGAGACTGAGAATTTCAAAAAGAAGTTTTGAATATTGATGGTGGTAATGGCTACTTATGAAATATTTATTGTGGACCAGTAGGCAGGTTCTGGATCATTCATGTTATCTCCCTTATTTTTTAAAGATTTATTTATTTGATAGAGTTACACAGAAGGAGAAGCAGAGAGAGAAAGAGAGGTCTTCCATCCGCTGGTTCACTCCCCAAATGACCACAACGGCAGGAGCTGGGCCGATCCGAAGCCAGGAGCTTCTTCCAGGTCTCCCACATGGGTGCAGGGGCCCAAGGACTTGGGCCATCTTCCACTGCTTTCCCAGGCCATAGCAGAGAGCTGGATTGGAAGTGGAGCAGCCCGGACTCAAAAACATCACCGATATGCACTGCAGGTGGCAGTTTTACCCGCTATGCCACAGTGCCACTCCCTCTTATAATAATATGAACTGCGAGTATTATCCTATTTTAGAAATGGGGAAACAGAGCCTTAGGGAGGTTGGGCAGCTCACTGTAGATCATCCACTATGATGTGGGGAACCCTGTTTGTGTAACTCCATAGCGTACATTCAGTCCCCCTCCATGTAAATACACCTGTTGCAGTTATAAACCACTGGGTAAGCAGAAATCAGAGGAAGAGCTCAAAGACAAGAACCAGCTCTTAGAGGCCGTCAACAAGCAGTTGCACCAGAAGTTGACAGAAACTCAGGTGAGAAGCCCACCACACCTCTTTCACTAGCTGCCACTGGGCACTGCGTGTGCGGTCTTGAGGGATGGCGCTGTGGGGAGGAGCAGGCTTGCAGTGCCTGACTGCCTGACCGCACAGAGAGAAGCAGCCAGGCTCGTGCTGGCGCTGTCCAGGAGCAAGGGGGAGGAAGGCTGTCTACTCGTGGAGTCTGGGAGGGTTCCCGACTGACTGTGCGCCACCACCACAGGGAGAGCTGAAGGACCTGACCCAGAAGGTAGAGCTTCTAGAGAAGTTTCAGGACAACTGTTTGGCAATTTTGGAGAGCAAGGGCCTTAACCCAGGTAAGAGAACACACACAGCTGCCTTCAAAGAGAACAGCACAGGTCCACCTTCCTGAGCTGACTAGCAGTGTGGCATCAGCTGGTCCAGGCAGGGCAAAGGTTGCATGACAAAGCACTAAAGTGCTTTGAGAGCTTCTGTTTGTTTCCATACAGTGTTCATTTGGCCTGCCCGACAGAATTTCAAATGACTGAAGACAGAAACATCTTTCTTTCTCTTCTTTCTTTTCTTTATTTGAAAGGCAGAGTTACGGGGGTTGGCGGGGGGGGGGGGGGGGGGGGGGGGGTTGGAGAGTCAGAGAGATAAAGGTCTTCCATCTGCCAGTTCATTCCCCAAATGGCCACAATGGCTAGAGCTGACCATGAAGAAGCCAGGAGTTTCTTCCAGGTCTCCCACGTGGGTGCAGGGGCCCAAGGACTTGGGTCTTCTTCTACTACTGTCTCAGGCACATCATCAAGAAGATGGATTGGAAGTGGACCAGCCAGGATTGAACCTGCACCCATATGGAATAGGTGCTGTGCCAAGTGCTGGCCCCTATCTCTTTCTTATCTAAACTCTTTATGCCATTCATTTGGTGCCAACAGGTTTAAAGTTGCAAACAGACCAGAAATATTTTGCTCCTTTCATGGGAGATAACAGCATGCTGGTGACTCCTTGGTGGCAAGAGGTAAAGGAGAATACTTTTGCAAGGGGTCCTGAACCTAGCTAGTCACAGAATCCAGCAGATTCTGTGGTTGACATGGGACTCAAGTTCTGACCCTGTCCCTGGACAGCAGAGTTTAGCAAAGAAGAGACTGGAAAAAGGAGTTGCCCGAAGAGTGCAAGAGGAGCCACAGAATGGCCAGAAAAGGGCTGAGGCCTCGTGGAATTGAAGAATGCCAAGTCTGGGGCGAATGTTGAGCCCAACAGTTAAGATGCCTGCTGTGGCCCAGGCTTTTGACTCCAGCTTCCTGCTAATGCAGACCCTGGGAAACAACAGTGATGGCTCACGTAGTTGGGTTCCTGTCGCCTCATGGGAGACATGGAATGATTAGACCAATGATGGGAGCTCTGTCTGTCTCACTCTCTCTGCTTCTCAAATAAATGTATTTTTTTAATTTATAATAAAAAATGCTGACTGTGATTAACCTGTGGGTTACAGGTTTAGGATATTCTTTGCAGTAACTGTAAACATTTTGATGATTTAAGTTAACTGTGTGCACACACTGTTAACGAAAAACAACAATTTTTTAAGGCTTGAAAGGCTTTTAAAAACAGTTTTGTAGGGTAAGGGTTTAGCCCAGCAGTTAAGACACCTGTATCCCACATCGGAATGCCCAGGTTTGCTTAAGTAATTGGGTTCTTGCCAGTCACATGGGAGACCTGGATTGCTCCGGCCCAGCCCATCTCTAGCCATCGCAGGCATTTCTGGAGCTCTGTCTGTGTGTTTCTCTGTCTCATTGCAAATAAATAGATCATAATATTTTTTAAAGGTAGTTTTTATACTGTAAACAAAAAACTACATTTTCTTTGTACAGATTTTCAGCTGGGATAAGGAGAGTAGAGTGATTTTTTTGGCATACTGAAATCTAGAGACACGGGGGAAGTGCAGCAGCTGTGAATGGCGTGGGTGACCCTACCAGGGTGAGAACGCGGGAGAGAACGTCTAGGACTGGACACTTAATTTCCCTCATGAATAAAAGCCCTTCTGTCCCTGGTGGGGCCTCTGCTTTCTTTTGTTTAAAGTAAGTGTGCTAAATGAGACTGACTGTCATACCCATTGGTTTTAGGCGGTGAGACCCTGGTGCCACAGCAGACCCCTGCCACGGATCACACAGACTCTATGGTGAGGGTTGGGTGTGAATGGGTCAGGCCGAGGGATTCTGGGGCTCTGGGAGTCTCAAAGTCTCCCCCATGTGCACAGCAATCCTCAGAAGTAATCTTTGATTGTCCCCGATAGGAGAGAACGACCAGACATGTACTCAATATAGCATATTTTACTTTAGAGGTAGCTTTGTGCTTACCAGTGTGAGTGAGTCTAAACTGAAAATGTGCTACTGTGAAACCTAACAGGGTGGACCTGTATGGAGAGCTCTCTGGTTTGTCCGTTCTGCACTTTGCCACATCTCTTCCCTTATTCCCTTGCCAAGAACTGTGTGATGCCAAGGTCAAGGTCAAACCTGTTAAGTTTTAATTCTGAGCTTCTTTTTGTAAGAAGTAGGAAGGTAATTGTTTGGGCTTCAAGTCTCTCAAACTCCTGTGATCTTTCTCAGAGATATTTGTCACCTTAGAGATCGCAGAACACTAAGCAGCAACCAGAGACCATCAGTCACCTCTTCTGTGACTGCTACGTTCTGTTCATAAAGTGAGGAGCGCAGAGCGTGCTGTGGTGGGGTCATGACCGAGTTCCTCCCTGCAGGGAGCTCAGCAGGTAGCCCCGTAGGTGCCTCAATGCTCAGTGGGTGGCTGGATGAGCGGAAGGGCCTTCAGCGGTCATGACTGCTTTACATGGAGGTTTGTTTACTACATTGTACTTTCCTCTTAGTTGCTGTTAGAAACTTTGCAAGATGAACTGAAGCTTTTTAATGAAACAGCCAAAAAGCAGATGGAGGAATTACAGGTGAGAGGCTGGCATCACCCAGAATGGTTACCGTTGCCTTCCACGATAAATGGGTTCAGGGAGGAGTCTGTGTTTCCTATTTTTCTGTTTATTTTTATGAACTATTTTGAAAGAATTTTAGATTTATAGAAATGCTGAAAAGGTAATAAAGCAAATGCAGTTTCCTTAATATTAACTTCTTACGTTGTCTTCGTGCCAAGACTTCCTTTGGATTTCACTAGTGTTTCCTACTGAGTGTCTTTTTCTGTTCCTGAAGACTCTTAGAAATGTTCCGTCTCCAGGACATGAGGCAGAACAGTAGCTTGCTGCACATGGGGAGTTAAGACTTGTGTGGTCCATTATGTGGAAACTTGACATGGCCAGGAGACTTACTGAGAAGCCCAGGCTCTTGGGCTTGGATGGAATATTGCACTGACCAGACAGGATTTCATTGCTCCAGTTTAGGTATGAGAGTGTAGTGTAGAGGGATAGCTCCTCAGACCAGCCCAGATAAGCAAGCCCTAAGGAAACGTGATGTCTGCTGGTCTGTTGGGATGCCAGTGGACCTCTTTGGTGGATAGAAGCATGACGTTCTGTGAGGAGATTTTCTTTCCTCTGACTCGGGAGTTTCCTGTGTGCGTGTTTTTCTCTGGAATGTCTTTCCATGCAGGCCTTAAAGGTAAAGTTGAAGATGAAAGAAGAAGAAAGGGCTCGATTCTTGGAACAGCAAACCTTATGTAACAGTCAAGTAAATGATTTTACAGCAACCCTTGAGGAAATGGAGAAGCTACTAGAAATGTAATAGAAAGCAAGCGGTCAGGTGGCTTCCTCTTGGGGGTAAACTGAGAGGAAGCCTCCTCGGACATCTTCCTGGCCGTGATCTTCTAGGACTCACCATCCCCAGAGAGAAAACAGTTTCTGCAGTAGGACTAAGGACACTTGATGCTGGAGTGGCGGCTCCTCGAAGCTAGTTCTGCCAACTCTCAGACTGGACGGCTCTCCTGAGCCTTGTGGGTAAAGAATGGAGGCCGCAAGAGGGGACCTGGAAGCGTGGATCGGTGTCCTAGGCAACAAAGCAGCCCACCATTGCAATCGGGAGATGAAACCAGCCACAGCCAGAAGATCTAAAAGGTCACGTGCAGATTTGCAGGGGGAAAATTTGAATCTCAGTGGAGCGCAGGTACTCCACGGAGACATCCGACAGGAGCCAAGCTGTCACCTGCTGATCTGGAACACATTCTGTCCCCTACCTCCTTGTAAATTTATGAACTTGAAGTTGCCTGAAGCTTTTTGGCTTAGTAAATGGGGTGAAAGGGTATAGATAGTAATAACGCCTACCTGAAACAATACACCTTGGAGCTTTTAATCTAAATTGCATTTGTTTTGTTTTTTTTTTAAGTGCTACTTTTGAAATAAATATTTCCCTAAGTGTTCTGACTATAACATTAAGGAATGAAAACAGCCTTTAACCTAAGTATGTCAACTGGATGTGGTTGAACTAGGCTGGTTCCCAGGCACATGGTATTCTCATGTACCCAGAGTTGCCTGTCTTCCTGGAGCCTTGGGTGCTCCCCTGGGGGTGTTCTTGTTTGAGGCGGGAGGTGTCGTGCTGCATTCGCTGGCTGTGTGGCCGCTTACTGCCTCTGTTCTTCCTGTACTCTTACACGTGGTCCATACCTGCTGTTTGCTCTGCACAGCCAGTCCTGGGCCTGGTGCCCTAGGTAACTCCAGTCCCATGGCCTAAAGTCCAAGGTAGGTCTCCCCTCTGGCTTACGAAAGGCACAGTCAAGTTTTCCTTCTTAGTTTTGGTAATCTCCCATTCTTTCTACACCTTCCCCCATTCTTCACCAAACCTTCCCGCTCTACCCTTCAGCATCATTAAGGCTGCCCAGAGCCACCCAGTGAAGCCACATAGCACCCCATCCTCGTGTAAAGGCTGAAATGACGTGTCCCCTCACGCATTGTTAGCTGTGTCTCAATTTTTTAGACGTTATCTTTTAATTCCACTTTTCCATGATTTTTTTAAACTATTTATTTGAAAGGCAGAGTGACAGATACAGAGATCTTCCACTGGTTTACTCCTCAAATGGCTGCAATGGCCTGGGCTGGGCCAGGCTGAAGCCAGGAGCCTAGAACAGCATCTGAGTCTCCCACATGGGTGCGGGGGCCCACGTACCTGGAGCGTCTTCTGCTGCTTTCCCAGCTGGGTTAGCAGCAAGCTGGAGTGGAAATGGGGCAGCTGGGACTGGAGCAGGCACTCTGATACAGCGTAACAGGCAGCGGCTTAACCCACTGCGCCACAACCCTGGCCTGAAGTCTCAGATAGGAGGGTAATTAATTCTCACCGATAAGAGGGCTAAATATTCTACTCACTTTCAGAATGTTTACACTGTAAAGGGTTTGTTTACTTAAATTTGAAAGTGGCATTTTTAGTCCCCAAAAATGAACATTTCCTTCTTGGAAAGAAAGTGGAGACTTGATTATGGGAATCGCACCTCCTTGCCAGACCTGGAATTCACTGCTGCAACTGTGACTACCTGAATGCCTGTGGTTCCTAATTTCCCCCAGTGGGGAGACCCTGCCCGCTCCTGGCTGTCTTCCAGAGGATCTTGACCCCAGAGTTCTGAGCACTGCCAGCCAGCATTTTTTTTTTTAACTTTAATGAATATAAATTTCCAAAGTACAGTTTATGGATTAAAATGGCTTCCTCCCCCCATAACTTCCCTCCCACCTCCCATAACAACCCTCCCATCTCCCACTCCAATTCCATTAGCATCAAGATTCATTTTCAATTATCTTTATATACAGAAGATCAATTTAGCATATATTAAGTAAATATTTCAACAGTTTGCACCCACACCGAAACAAAGTGTAAAATACTGTTTGAGTACTAGTTATAGCATTAATTCACATTGTACAACACATTGACAGATATCCTACATGAGGACTAAGTGCACTCTTAACAAATTGACTTAACAAATTGACACTCTTGTTTATGGCGTCAGTAATCACCCTAGGCTCTTGTCATGATTTCCCAAGGCTATGGAAGCCTTTTGAGTTCACCAACTCCGATCTTATTTAGACAAGATCATAGTCAAAGTAGAAGTTCTCTCTTCAGAGAAAGGTACCTCCTTCTTTGATGGCCCTGTTCTTTCCACTGGGATCTCACAGTGATCTTTCATTTAGGTTTTGTGTGTGTGTTTGCTTGGTTGGTTTGGTTTTGGTTTTGGTTTTGCCAGAGTGTCTTGGCTTTCCATGCCTAAAATAGTCTCATGGGCTCTTCAGCCAGATCCGAATGCCTTAATGGCTAATTCTGAGGCCAGAGTGCTGTTTAGGACATCTGCCATTCTGTGAGTCTGCTGTGTGTCCTGCTTCCCATGTTGGATCGTTCTCTCCTTCTAAATTCTATCAGATAGTATTAGCAGACACTAGTCTTGTTTATGTGATCTCTTTGACTCTTAGACTTATCGTTATGATCAATTGTGAACTGAAATTGATCACTTGGACTAGTGAGATGGCAATGGTACATGCCATCTTGATGGGATTGAATTGGAATCCCCCAGCCAGCATTTTTTATACTCTTGCCTTTCCTCACTCCCTCTTTGATCGGTGCTACTCCGTGTGTCTTTCTGTGCACAGGGAGGTGTTCTGGGTACTCAGTCAGGTCTGGAGTTCAGCTATAGGAACTACAGATGCTACAGGAAGCTGGAGCATCCCGGGAGATTCCCAGCCTCAGAGGCTAAGAGTCGGGAAGCCAATGGGGCAGGCGCTAGGGAGCAGCACTTTATTGACCGCTGCTTGTGTGGTGCACTGGAGTCTTCTAGTACTAAAGTGTGGCTAGTTCGTTGTTGAAGGACGTGAATGGGGCTTGAAGGCAGAGTAACTCGGAGGCTCCCTGGAAAGCGGGGTGGGGGTGGGGCTCCAGG